AGCATAAGCCATGCCAAGTGTATGTTATTGTTTGTTGCAGACCGTTTATCGCCGGTTACAGGGTTTATAATTTACGAAATTGTTGTAAATAATTCATGCAACATGTTCTTAATTATTCTTGCACTAGTTTACAGTATTATGCATTCACCTATATATGTATGTAAGTGTGCAAATTCTATTCTTATTCACTTATTCACTCAGTACTTCATTGAAATGAACCCAAAAGACAAAAAACAATTTTTCAAGCACTAACCATTGTTGCATGTTCCAGTTAAAAATACGTGAGTATGTATGGCAACTTACTTTATCGATTTTTACTTGAAAATTCACACAATTTTTAAACCTAGTTAAGTGGCAAAACTGCTGAGTTGTTATATTTCGTAAAAAAAAGTATTAAAATTATTGAAAATTACAGTAGTAAAATGTATGGTTTATAAATTATAAAAAAATTTAAGAAATATTTGTAATTTCTTCGGCTTAAAGTCAAAATCTTAGATCGGAATCATTTTACAAATATTATTTAATGTAATAATTTCAAAAAGTTTGTAGAAAATTTCGATATGCCTACGAATAATAACAAAACTCTTTAAGAAGTTTCGAAAAAATTTTTGTTTTTGATCACCCTTTCGCTCTTCTCGTTCGATTTCTCCGTATACATACCTCCTCTTCTTGCAGGAAATTTAAATAATTTGCAATTAAGTTATATTCTAATATTCAGCATAATTTTTCCGATTTGCATGTTAAAATTATTTATTTCTAATATTTTTTCTTTTTATTTTCTTTTGCATTTTAGCCACACAATGTCAGCGCCACTTAATATACGCCGAAGTGCAGCATCGTTACTTTTAATATTGTTGCTCAGTTGCCAACGTATTTCTGGCATTTTGGGCAAATCACAGCTGTGTGAAGTTGAAACGGGACAAACGAATATTATATTGGATATAGAAGAGAGTCGTGGTGATTGTAAGTAGAAAATTATGAAATTTTTTTTTGCATTAATAGAAATATGAATAGAGGGTACAATTACTGAAAAGAATTTAATGTATTCATCTGTTAACAAAAATAAAGTTTAGAGAAATAATGTAAAGATACAGGAAATCGTGAATCATAATGATTGGAGGAATTCCACAGCCGAGTTCTTTGCTTAAGTCGTTTGTTACTAGAGTGCCCTATCAGACGAGTTATATTTATATGGAGAGACTTGTCTCAAATTTCCTCTTAAGCAAAAAACAACAACATCATAACAGTGTAGTAAATATTATAGAAGGATATATTTATATATATTTTTTATAAATTTTAATTGTAATTAAACATCAAAAAAATTCTTATATACTAAATATTTTTTATATTTAATACTCATAAAATAACGACCCGCTAATGTATCTACCTTCCTTGGGTTTTCATTATATAATTTCATAATAAGTTATTATATCAAAAAAATTAATTCAAACTACGATTGTCGACCATCACTTCTATTACCAATTAAATATTATTGTCTTTAACAATCTTTTTGGAATGCTTTATGCCACTCAATAACTTGAGGTTCCTATAAAGTAGACTTCATAAAATGATTTCTTGGAAGTAAAGTTCCGCTGGAAACAGATAATCTTCGGGAAATATTTACTTACTTAATATATTAAAAATGACTAGACTAAATGTTTGCTCCTTAAAAAGCTATTCCATCTGGCGCAAACCTTTAGCACTACCATTTATGTAACATTTATCTCTGAAATGTGTAATTTTTTTAAATTTTTTCTATTTCAAACAATTACTTAATAAAACACTTTTTTGTATTTGCATATCTTTAACTTAATTGTTGCACGCATATCACTCATTTATCTAAGATTGCATTCAGTTTTGTAGGCCAGTTATTATCACTAAGAAAGCCAGATGTGATACCAAGATATAGATATCACTTTACGTCAATTCAGGTTTTTCAGCGTGTACGAGTATTTACTACACTTTTATTTATTTCTCTCGATTTGCAGAGTTAATTAAATTTACCAGCGAATTCTACCCACCAGCAGCAGAACGAAAATGTTGCATGCCACAGCCCAGCATGTCCGCGCTGATGAGCCCACTCCCTAGTAATATATAAAAATTACCATCATTTTTCTTCATCACTTTATGTGCTAGACACGGCAGTCAGCGCTTACATTTCACTGCACATTGTTGTTGTATGCTAGCGTTCAAATATTTATGAATCGTTTGCTTGTTTTATGGCGAGTTGCTACTTTTATTATAAATTATTTGCCTTTATCGCTTAGTCGCTTGTAGATATTTGCAAATATACGCCACATTTTTTGTAGGGCTAACAAGCAACATTAATCAAAGTGGCATATAAATGTAGCAGAGCGCATGTGTGGGTCGATAACACCACAAGTGGACGGACGTCAGAACAAGTTGCACCTATGTTGCAAGCGCTTGAGATTTACTTAGTGGCAAGCTGTGCTCAAACAACACTTTTCATAATAGCAATAATCAAAGCCATAATCGGAAAGGGGGTATAATTTTTTAGAAGCGAAAGTTTTACTCCGCACTTAAGCGTTTAGTAATTGGAAAAAAGTTGAGTATACGCCCTGGCCGTCGCACAGCGAAAGGCAGGCGTCTTACACAAAAGTTATCGCACAAAATCAACGCAGCCATTTCAACTGGAGCAATTTCATGCAGCAAATGAACTTATCGCACATTTATAATTTACAACATGCTGTATCGGCAACAACAATAACTAAAGCAACAGCTTCTGCTTGGTTCATTTCATAAGTTGCTTTGCTCAATGAATTGCTAAGCTGCGCCAACCGCCTTGCCACTATATTAAATCACAATAAATGAATCTGCTTTGTGCCTATTTCAACAAGTACAACAACAAAAAGTACAAAAATAATCATTTACAAGTCGAACGCATAAAGGCGAGGTAAAATATGGAAACATAAATGTTTATATACGCTGATGATGATGATGCGTTGCCAGTTGTTGCCTACACTACAACAAAAAGTGGCAGCAATTCTATACACACTAACTTGCACATGATGCCATTTAAAGGCGTCCACCAATTACTTTTGCAAAGGCAACCACACACAAACTCATATATGCTTACAGACACACTCATCTACGTGGCACCCTTCTTGTGTTGCTTGTCGTCTGCATATCGTGTTGCAAGTTGCCAAGCGTTGTATGTACAAAGTATATCTACGTCGTAGATTATGGTGCGTGCCACTGCTGCCACTATTATTAAAGTGTTCTTGCTATTCGTTGTTTTTGTTGCTGTTAATGTTTGTTGTTTCGCTGTTACGATTGTGTTGCGATAGCAAAAGCAGATCAGTTTACTTTTATTCGCCTGCCACTTCACTATGGCAGATGAAAGCGAATAAAAATAAAACTCATTAAAAGAATCTAATCGACGTATTATTTTTCTTCACTTTTCTCGCTTATTCTTCCTCGAGCTGCGGCATTGTGGTTGGTGCTGTCATATCCTGCAGCTACTTTAGCTGCATTTAGAAGCTGTGGCATTTATAGCACTGTGGCACAGTGTCTTGTTGTGAGCATTTGTATGCAATTATTTGTAACTATTCATGCCTTAAAAAGTTTTTTTTTAATATAAACTTTGATGCAAAAAACTTAATTTAAATATATTCTTCATTGTTATATTGAAGAGAGAAGTAGGTGCAAATACTAAATATTTTGCAAAGTCGCCAACTAAATATAGATGAACATTAAATGCTTCGAGAACCAAAACACAATAAAACAGGTCTACAAAGCATTTCACCGCCCAAATAAAAAATAAAAATCAAGGCTTTTTTATAATATAATTTCTTGTCTTAATTTTCAAGGCAATCAGTAGTCTCTTTTTCAAAATCCTGTTAAACTATTTCTGACACTTTATATGTGTACCTTTCCCCGAAAGATTGCCCACATTTTAAGCAAAATCTGACTCTACGAAAATTTCTTAACAGTATAAAAAGTAGCCGAAATATGTATTGCCTACATTTTGGCACTATATTTATCTAAGTTGCGAACCTGTTAAATCATTATGGAGAATGAAGAGCCACGATTATAAATAAACAATCTATACAGCAAAATTAGTGATTCAGCATTAAAATTCTGGATTTACATTTTTGGACTTTACTTTACTTCATTAAAATTTTTATCAACTGAACTATTTTATTGTATTTTCGCTTTATTTTTGTAAGCTTTATTGAATGTCAAAATCATTACATGATCCTCTATTTCCAATCTAGGGTATAGAAAGCTAACTCTTTCTTTCTAACAATTCTCAAAACTCTATGCGATTCATTTAACTAAATCACCGTGCGCAGTCCTGGCTCTAGTTTTTTTACTTGTCCTTAGTTGTTGTTTTATTTGTCTACCACATCAACTTTTGCGGTTTGCCGCTTTTATTAATAATGAGAAATTGTTTTTAAACAATACTTTGATTGTTATGCCAATGTTGAGTGCTACAAGTAGATGCCGGCAAATAGTAAAAACAACTACAACAGCAACAAATGCAACCAGCAGGTATACAAAGTCTTAGCAGGCAGCAATCTTCTGGCAAAGCAAAGCATCAGCGCGAAGATCTTCAAATTTATTACATGTATTAGCTATATGCACAGACACACATGCATGTTCATACATACTATATACAGTGTTGCATTTCATTTTTCCATCGCTGATATTATGGCTGTCTTGTTGCATTACAATGGAAAATTGAATAAGCCATCGGCGATGAAATGAAAAATATTGGCGTGATTGCGGTTAAATTAACAATTGCTTTTATAGGGTTTGCCAACACATACACACACACATATGCATATTTACGTTTATATAAGCCAGCATATACGCACATGTTGTTGCATATGGTTCTATCATCGGTGGCACACAGTAATAGTTATTTGTTGCAAGCGAAAACAATTGCGATCAACGATAAACGCTGCGATTGCCATTTGTTCCACCAACAAAGACACTGAAATTTTTCTCTTTTGCATTTAGTTAGGTACGTGAAAATGGCTTTGGCATCTCCCTCAGCCGCACGTTGGTGCCCCCTTCCCGTATACATTGCCACGGGCTATTTTAAACAAACGCCACAAACTGGAAGGTAGTTGCTTTTACATTGTTTGCAGCGGGAAATTGATACCATTTTTCACTTTTCATTTACATTATTGCATTCGCTATGTACGAGTACTTACCATGCAACTAGCACTTTCGCATTAGTTTCGGAAATGAAATAGGTAAGTACAGAGATTTCCAATAGAGGACTTCGATAAGCGTGCTTCAACCGCAAATTGGAAAAAAATATATACATATTGCGTTTCAAACCCCATTCTAGTTTTGAAAATATATTGATGTCAAGAATACCGTTAGACTATTGCGGCTACAGTTGATCCCACTCATTTCCGGAATGACTTAGTCATAAGTTAGTTTTTAAGTTTTCCTCCTTCAAATCACTTGAATAAAAGGTGGCCTAACTGAACTCACTAATTTTGGTGTCCTAGGAAATCCATTTCTTTGCAATGATACTTTCCAAAAATTTTTGTAGTACAAATTTTCATACCTTAGCCTGTCATTTTTTATAACTTATGGAAGGTTCTTTCAGGAATACGAGTATAAAGGTCTCATTATGTTCTTGAACTCTTCTATTAAAAGCAAAACGTTTAGCTTCTGTATATAAAATATATTGGGTTCCAAATTTTTTAACCTGGAATTGTTACGTATTTTCTTCCACGCATTATGCATGCATTGTGACCAGAAAGTTACCGGAGTTTTTCGTTTAAACTGCCCGCGCTGAATATTTTTCAGCACTTTTTTTTTGTTAGAATGGTAGCACTATACTTAATTACTATGCCAAAAATGGACGCCATCTGTCAACCAGTTCTTTTGCAGCAGCTGTTTAAATCAGTCGACCTCAGTAGTGTTTTACGATTTTTACAATGGAAAAAAATATTAAACAAAGATTTTGTGCTTGGATCAAAATTTCTTTTACGGATCGTTGCGAATGTTAGAAAAGGCTTATGGTGAATCTATTATATCGAAAACCCAAGAATACGACTAGTACAAAGATTTTAAGGAAGGCCGAAATCCGTCTTTGACATCTACCACTGACGAGAACATCAAAAAAGTGAAGGAAATCGTGCTCGAAAATCGAAAGTTACTACTCCGTGGAACCCGTTTCGACTCGATTGTAGCCGTAAAC